ATTGTTGGAAACAACAGAGACATTTATTTAACTGAATTTTGAGCCAGATCCTAAGAAACATTTGACTTCCTTTTTTGAATTATAGTATTTTTTTAAGCTTAACTATTTTAATGTATGTGACTGTGAAGATGTTCTCATAAGATTAACTCTTTGAAAACACAAACTGACCCAGGCAAGGCTTTGAAGTTCTTCTTTAATTTTTTTTTTCTCACACAATAACTTGGTTTGCATTGAGCTTTTACAGTATATTCATTATTGCATGTACTGTTACATATTGCATTTGAACAAACCAACTGGTTTTGATATGATCCTGTATGTATTCCACAGTAATTGCATTATGCTACATAAATAAAACAAATTAGGATGAATCGAAATAGCATGGCTTTTAAGTTAAATGTTTACATTTTAAACTGCTCAGATAAGAAAAGAAAGTTAAACCATATCTTTTGCGATCTTTTTTTTCCATTTGTGTCATTTTCGTAACTTAAATCATAGCTGTTCTATGTTTATTGCATATAAATAATGCCTTCATAGTACTCAAACATCACTCCTGTGGCCTATAGTACTGGAATTACTGTATATCAGAGTGTTAATATTTAAAATCATCTTTAGTTTCATGCTGGCTCTAACAGTGCAGAATATTTTTGCTGGTAAGAGAATATTTAAATTAAATTATTCAAAATGATTATTCTGAAAATCAGTATTAGCTGGTTTGGCATTTTTCCTTACAACCAGTGTCAATTAGAAATCTGAAAACGTGGAAGATTTCTCAGCCTTCAGGTGATCTGCCAGTAAACAGTAACTGTTCATTACCTGTGCTGTACTTAAGGCCATTCCTTCAACTAAATCACAGGAGTGTATAATTCTCTCTTTTCAGGCATATAGTCAAGCACATAGAAAAACAGCAAAGACAAATATTTATCATAGCATTAAAACCTGTGTTTATGAACCAGCATTTTTTGGGGGGGAAATGGAGGACAACTAACAATGTTGTTGCTAATCCCTTGATTAATTAATTGCTAATCTCTTGATTGCATCTTTTGTTTGCACTAACTGGAAGAACAGGTTTTCTGCTGCAAAATCAAAAGCATTTGCAATTGTTTTCATTGTGGGTGGAGCGGTGGCTCTGTGGTTGAGGATCTGTGCCTGTGGCTGGCAGGTTGCTGGTTCAAATCCTGTGGCTGGCAGAGGAGTCCTACTCCATTGGGCCCCTGAGCAAGGCCCTTAACCCCAACTGCTTCAGGGGTGCTGTACAATGGCTGACCCTGCACTCTGACCCCCAGGCTTCTCTCCCTGTCTATGTGTCTCATGGAGAGCAAGCTGGGGTATGCAAAAAGATAATTCCTAATGCAAGAAACTGTAAAGGGTTAATAAAGCGATGTTGTTATTATTGCTTTACAGGCAAAGTGGTATATCGAAGAGGTACTGCTATTGGCCATGGGAACGACTACAGATTCATTTCATATCTGCATGAGAAGGCCTGGGACATTTTTTTCTGTTTAGTAAGTGCTACAAGATGGGCCATATTTTATTTATTTAATTTTATTAATGCAAACGTTGAGCATTAAATCATATCTGACAAGTTACTGACAACCATTTATGTGTGCTTCTTGGTTTATAAAGAAGAAAATATTGATCACACTGAACTGAAGTTACCTTTTAAGATTAATGTACAGTGTTATTGGTTTCACAAATGAGAGTATTTTAATTAAAGAGATTACCAATGAAAACCCCCAAAGGGGATTATATTCTTACATAAACCTGATTTGTTCTTTGGAAGTTTAACACTACTAAAAACAATGCTGTTGAAGGTGAGAAGAGTGAAAATTATTACCTGTATGACTGTAGACCCATAAGAAGTTCACACCAAGGCTGATAGCAAAACATTTTTCTTGAACTTATCAGTCAATGTTTTTATTACAGGTAATAAGGAAAAAGGCAATAAATGATTCCTCTAATGAAATTTGGATTCAGATGTGTCTGTATACAACACTTAAAAGCCAACTTTCCTCTTTAACAAACATCTAAGGATCTGTTGCTAATTAAACAAATTGCTAAAAGGCTCCTAGAGCTTGTCAGTCTGTCTTATTTTGATTAAAAGAAATCTCGTAAAGTGAATGGTGCTTATTAATGATTTCCTCCTTAGATCAACGGAAAAGGCCAATTCTAAGGAGCTCTACCAATTGCCACATAAATCTGCCGTTGTTGAATTAGTGAACAGAAGACTCAGAGAAGTCAAGAAAACATTTGATAATGAAAACATTTGTAAAGGTGTCTTTCTGTCCATGAGAAATAAAACACTAACTTACATTACAGTATTTCACAAAATATTAAATCTGCAAATATTGGGAACTCTCCTTGTGTATAAAAGCACGTCAATACAATATTGAATTCAGATGTGCAAGTAAAGTACCAAAGGCTATATTTTATTTATTGTATTAATGCAAATGTGGAATGTAAAATCATGTCTAAGAAGTTACCAACAACCATTTACTGTATGTGTGCTTCTTGGTTTATAAAGAAGAAACTATTGGTCAAACTAAACAGTTACCTTTTAAGATTAATATGTTATTAGTTTCACAAATGAATTTACTAAATTTCAATAGAGTGTTTATTTGTATAGTATAGGACTAGTGTTACGATTCTTATCATATCTTAAAAATGTTGCACTGTGCATGAAATGCATATATTTTACCTAAAATAGAAAAACGTTTTTATGTATAACATAAATACTATAGAATGTTTAATTTCTGGGTCCAATCTATTATACAGTGAATATTATACAGTATTAATTTTGTGCCTTCTTCAGTTAAGTAGCTGTCAGGAGTTTTAGTGTACTGGATAATTGTAAACAAGAAAAACTATTTGAATCTGTGTTTTTTGGTGGCTTCCATAAATCAAAACAATGGGAGAAGCTATTGGGTGGTTATCATCCAGTTAGGATAACATTCTAATTTCTCAGGAGAGTGAAAAACACCTCTCACGTGGTCTGATTTTTGTTTTTACCTATTCAGTTAATATGAATACAGTCAATTCAACGCTGACACACTTTGCTGACGTATCAGGTTGATCAGAGCGCTGGCTCACTTGTACAGAATAAATGCTGGCATGCAGTCACAATGATTTTAATTGCATCTTTGTGAGGAAAGCTTGTAATTCTATACTTAAATTAGCACTGCAAAACCATTTTGGTTTACAAGCTCCATTATTATTTTTACAAACTATGAAAAACCTGCCATTGGACCATTGTAAATGTTACTTTTTATGTATTCAGAGCTGGTTTCTTGTTTTCACTCAAACTAAAAAATTCAATATTTCAGTATTTCAGTACACTGCATTCAAATGTGTTAGAAGGTAATGTTTCAGGCAAAGTATCTTGCCTCAGCACAATAATTATCTTTAATGTTGTTAAATCTTCATGTGTAGTTCTGGCATTGTTCCTCAAGCTCAATTAGGGATTTTATTCTGATCACGTACTGTAGTTGGGAGGTCTCAAAATAAGTTCTAATAAGAACTTCAAAGCGAGATTACTTTCAATCCTATGGCTCAAAATGTATTCTAATCCAAATCTGAATGATTAAAATAGAAAAAAAAATGTGGATTAAAGATTATTTATTTTTTAATAAATGAATAACTCATATACCAGTTGTTAAAAGCTGAATAAAAAATGCAGGCTTTTCTTGTGCAAACTGTTAATATAACATGCTGACAAATCAAAATGTTGTGAGTAGCAATCTTTGATGTGACTAAAGAATCCAATACTCAATTACTGTACTTGGGAATGTAGTTAAGGAGATAGGGAAATAAGACTGATAAAAACACACTTTTAATTTAATATCAAATTAGAGATATAAAGGATAAAATCAATACATCTTTGATGGCACTTATAAAACTGTACAATACCACTCCTTTCAAAGGAGCAATCCAAAACTAAAAATATTTTGATATATTTGCAATTTTTCTAAACTCTTGTATGATCCAATGTTTAAACTGCATGCTAGAAACACAAAACATGACCCCCCAGATATACATGTAGCAATTTCAGAAAAACAAGATACAGTAAGCAGAACTCTCTTGGATGTGCAATACAAAACAAATAATTAGCTATTTTTATTTTAGCTAGGGAAGGATGCAGAGCAATAATTTCCAAATTATTCTAGAGATTGAAAGAAAAGAGGTATTGTTGTGAAATTTGTAAAAACAGCTACAAACACAAACCCTGGGAAACATATTCTTGGAAGATCATTTCTGTTGCTTACTCTGCAGTATTCACTGCTTATATGAAACTTGAAAGAGAATAAGAAATTCTATTGTTGGAAACCAAAATAGCAACAAAAACTACCACATAATCCCAGTTGTCAGAGACAGTCTAATCTTCTGAGAAAAGGAGTGATTTCATTTATAACAATGCAAGAAATATTTTGCAGCTTACGTGCGTGATGTGACTGTCAGTTAACACATTGTCACCTACTACAGTAAAATAAAAGATATACAGAAATATTGGAACATCTCAATAAATTAGGGAGAAAAAAGCAGATATATTTCTAACCAAAAAAAAGTAAATGATTTTACTATTCTGTAGGAGCCTTTCGATGGGGCTCAACATATTAAATGAAGATTCAATTTCAATGTGCAAAAATGAGAAGGTGTCTTGGAAATGAATGTGCATTAAATTGAAAAAACAATAGGCTTCTTAATAGGGAAGAGTTTGAAGAGAGCATAGTAGGTAGCCTGAATAGGAAACAAACAGATAAGTTCATTTCTGAGAGATTTTTTTTCTTTTACACAATGGACAGCACTGTTATTCAGTTTAAAACAGAGGCCATTCCACTAACCAGGGCCTTTTTATGTGCTTGTTTTGAGTCTGCTTATTTAAAATCATTAGAATTCTGGTACGTGACAATTTGTAACAAGTTGTATTTGTGTTTAACTACAGAACCTGGAGTGCTGCAAACGACAGTACTGGAATGCATCGTACCTCTTGTCAGGTTTTGTGTTCATATCATGCAGAAAACATTGAAACAGAATTTCTCTGGAGGGCATTTTTTTTTAAAAGAGCAAAATTCCAAAAGCTGATTTTATATTTCATACTGCCTCTCACTTGTAGCTCTCAGCCTGGTCCATCTACGATAGGTGATACATGCTGTATCCAACTGGTGCAGCATAAAGTCCTACTGATGACATAGGAAGAACAGGCCTATGGAAGGGGTATGACTGTCCATACAGAGAGGCTGACTGGAGAGGAGAGTTGATGGGGAAAGGTAATGTGAATCCTGGGTGGAGCATGGGCTTTGCCGCCATTTTCAGTTTTTCCAACTCTGCCTCCTGCAGTCTCTTTGCCTTGGCCCTCCGGTTTTGGAACCAGATTTTGACCTGCGTCTCCGTGAGGTTGAGGGAGCTGGAGAACTCGGCCCTTTCCGCGATGGATAGGTACTGCTTCTGACGAAACTTGCGCTCCAGGGCCAGGAGCTGGGAGGTGGTGAAGGGAGTCCGAGGTTTGCGGTTGGTTTTGTGCTTCCTTAACGAGCAGGTGGTAGGGCTCAGCTGCCCTGAGGAAGGACAGACAACAGAAAAAAACATAAACACTGTGGTACTGATGCAAAAGCAGCATCTAACCATGAGGGCGTGTGGCTCAGAACGATAGAAAGCATGCAGTCTATCACGTCTTGCAGAATTCACTTTATAAACACCTCCATAGAGAGAATAGACACTCCAATGGACAAGAAAACTACTCTCTATCAAGCAGTTCCCAGTTTGAGCCCAATATCTGTAGCTGACTCATTGTGACACACTAAGCTATCTAGTGATCCCTGCTGCACTCCTTCCCTCAGATGAGACATAATACCTACTACAGTGTAAGAGACGCGGCTAGTGCATAAAAACTCTGCTTAAAGTACATAAGTAGGTGAGTATAAGAACGTCAGCTAAATTACTAGCTTCTAGAATAGTTTTTTTTCTTTTTATCACCCATTTATTGATGACTCAATTGTCATTTCCAAAAAGCCGACAATATTTGATTTTTCTGTTTTATACTATAAAAACTAGAATTATTTAGAAATTAACGACTGAATTAGCCATATGCGTAAATCCATCATTATGCCTCTGCATGTGTACTTTATTAACTACTCTATAGAAATGCAAACGGTGCGAATTGTGTTCATTTTAAGCGCAATAGAAAATAACAGCTGTGAAGGCACCGCATATTTAGCCAGGAGAAATACGTAGCTGTCAGTATCAATGTCGCACTTTGCTACAGGTAGCATACCTAAAATAATTGGGTTGTGTACCTTATACCGTGCACTTAATCATATCAAATGTTAATTTAATAATAGTGTACATGAACTTTAGATTCATACATGTGTGGACTAAATATAGTTACCCACACCAACCAACATTTAACATGAAGCTATGCGGTTAAATAAGCTTACTGAACATTAGATTGTATTTTCTATATCAAAAAACATGTTTATTAACTTAACATAAAATAAATTACATCTTACTAGCATTAAAGAATGTGTTAAGACACACTCTGTAGAACTGAAAACACTTTTTACTTCTGTTCATAATTGTTAAGTTACTTTTCGTGCAATCAAATGTTGCTCAATACTTCTGTGTTCTATAACGAAATGATAGGCCTGTACATTTAAAGTAATAGGGGGTGAGACAATTAAAAATTAGCCGACTCTGCTGTTATTGATTATATATCCCAGTTTTCGAAATGTGCAGTCGTATGACCCTATTTACTGCTTACTTTGAAAATTAAAATTGTTATTATTTTCAACAAACAAAACAAACGGATTTATATGGCGACAAATGCTACCCGTAAAAACGATACCCGTACTGCATTGAAATCCCTGTTGAGGGAAATCGCTCCGAGCATCACATACAGGACAGTGTATCACTCTGTGGCATGGACGGTTCAAACACTCAATATGTCTTTATTTTCTTATCAAAGGAACACGCAGACAGAAACTCCTCTTAATAGTGCGTAATTCTCTACGCACAATCGATAAACGTGAAATTACACATTAACTACAAAACGTATTTAAATACAAAAGCTATCGAGGTATCAAGTAATGTGGAAAGTGTGAGACCTTAAGAAGTATTCGAAACTAGTGTTACAGCCAAAGCATATACACTTTAGTTTGACTTTTCTGTTGACTTTTGGTCAAAGGCGATATATTGCATTTGGCATTCCGTCCAATGCAGAGAATAGGAGATAAATCGCTAAGACGTAGCTTTCTTTCTAAAGGTATCTTATTTATAGGACCTTCCTATAAATAAGATACATTTATATGAAGAGACGAAGAGGGTGGAGAACAAGAAGAACGACTTTTTTTGTCTTATAACAAAGTAACAGAAAAGGGACTTACGGGGCGGTGGGGAGAATCTTGAACTTGTCACCCAAGGTGCGCATTCCTCCTGCTCAGAAGTTTCAGATTTGACCGGGGACGTCGGGACAAAATGTTTAGGAAATTCCTCAGGGCTGTAAGTATCTCTGGGAATGGATAAAGAGTTGTGTGTCCTGGGAGTGCCAAGCACTGTATCTTCTGATTTCGGTGGGAATTCGCTGTGAGTCTTTCTGTCAGCCATCAAAGCCTCCACACTGAAAGGTAAAGTAGACACTTGAACTTTGCGCTCCTTTGCTGGTTGAATATCTGGTTGAATATCCTCGTCGGAGGAGCAGCTGTCCTTGGAACTCGCAGGAGAAGACATGCTAATAGAATATGTCTCTAAATCGAAATAGTATAAAAGGCAAAATAAATTCTACCAACGCCCGTCCCAACGAAGAAGAAGTAGAAGGACTTCTTACTCAAGCATCAAAAGCCTGAAGCTTTAGTAACAACAGGGCAAAAAACCAAACAAGTTCTTGGAAGTAGACAAACTTCTAGCCAATCAGAACGTGGCCAAAACTTTGTACCGCACTCTGACGCCTCTGATTGGTTTTCGGTTTTAAAGGATCGCAAAAGGGTTTGAAAAATACATTTAGAAGTAATCACACAGAGGCCAAACAGTGATAGGCTGGTGATACCTTCAGGGCTTTAATCTCGTGTAAACACAAGCGCCACTCGCATAATTTACGGCTAATTATGTGAAGAGGAAACTCACATTAACCACTTCTGTCTCAGCACTGCTTTACACAACGTGTTAATATGCAATGGATTAAGATTTTGTTAAGGCTGAGCATTCCGGGGTTTAATGAAATAGGGCACGAGGAAACAAAACAGTGGAAAACACTAAATATTTTGTTTTAATAGCTGCCCCAAGGTACACTGGCATGTGCCTCCAGTACGTGTAGTAATTCACAGTTGCGATCCAATACAAAACATGAATACCATATCAGGATAAATTTGATTTGCAAAATGTGTACGTCTTTTAACTAAATGTATCTATATAAACTAAACCACCAGGCTTTTGGGGGACAATCAATAATTACACAAAATAGTACATCAATGTATTCCTCTTGATGAAGAATTTGTTATTGACTAATACATTTTATTTTTATTATATGGATACTAAAATTGATCACATTCTAGATTCGAATTCCCAACCGCATTTAAACGCTATTTTTCAATGACTAGTTGACTTTTTAGTGGTGGAAATGACTCCAACAGTATTATTATTATTATTATTATTATTATTATTATTATTATTATTATTATTGTTGTTGTTGTTGTTGTTGTTGTTGTTGTTATTGTTGTTGTTGTCCTCGTTGTTGTTCGTTCGTTTGTATCTCTTTGTAAATTTAAGATAATGTTATTCAGAGAGAAGAATAAACTGTATATACTGTAATGTTTCACTCGTATGTTTTTCAAGAACTTCGTCATTACAGAAATAGCTAGCCCTTATACAGATAGTATATCCCTTTTGTACACGGACGTTACTATTTAAAAAAATGAAATCCACTAGGAAAACATTCTAAAAGAGTACATTATATTGCATTATATTGAAAAGCTTGTAGTAAATGTTTAAAAGCAAAAAAAAAAACGCTTTGATGTGTCACAAAAGACTACCGTTAGTGGCTTGCTCTTTCCCTTCTACAAGTGTTATTGCTGTGGTACGTCAAAGAAACCATTAATCACAATTATCAATTCTAAGCAAAAAAAATGTATATTGTATTGCACTATGTCCCAAAAACAAAACAAGATTTAATATGTATTTCGATTCTAATGGCTCGTTAGCAAGGAACCGATAGAACATAGGCTGAAACCCATTAAGCACCATATTAAGCAAATATTGATTGTCGGATATTCGTGAAAAATTACATAACAGACCATCTACTTACTGTAGTTTACCAGTTTCCAGTTCTGTACCCTAGAGAGAATATCGCATATTTAATATCTTAATTAGTTGGCCTAACGCAGTAAAGAAATATGCATTCATTTTATTTTAACTAAAATAAATTCTGTCACGGTAATTCTACAAATTAATTGGTGATCAGGTTATTTATAATCAGATAATTAACTGTTGGAAGTGAAAATCGATGCTATTCTTACAGATACTCAAAAGTAATTCTGATAAAATTAGTAAATTTTGGCTATAGCATTCTAGGGGTTTTAATTATTAATGTTGTATTTTCTATTTTACAGTGCACAGTCGGCTTTTTTTCAATTAAATACCCTAATATTTTAATTTATAATATGCAGCAACATTTAGAAAACACAACAAAATATAACACAAAATGTCATAATTCTCAATGATCTCACAAGGAGATATATATTAGGCTTTAAAGCTCGGTTAAGGCTCTCAAGGCGCTTTGGAACAATTTGTTATAATAACAGCAGCGGAGATCTATTTGATCTAAAATCCCCAGGGTGATACTGGATGGATCGCAAGTAGTATTGTATTATAATATGCATTCGATTATCTTTCTTTTTTACTATTTTCATTAGACTTATTGAGTGCGAATTTTAAGCATTTTAAAGCAAACTTAGCAATAATAAAATAACGTGGTTTGCTGCGTCAGCATTGTGAATTTTTCGTGAATGTGGTCGGGCAAAAAAAAAGGACTGAAGGACTTAATAATACACAATTTCCTTATTTCTCGTTTCCAATGTTTGTTTTGAACTGGATGGAATCGAGATTAGGTTCCTTTATTTTATCAAAAGCCGACATTTTTCTAAGTTAGGCTTATTAAAAAGGGCGATATGCGTGCGGGAGAGGGATAGTCCATTACATGTGCTGTTATGTGTCGTGGTGAGATTTTCTGGTATCACTTTTCCCATGTGTCTGAAGCTGAATGATTATTACACCGGGTGATTTCGCAGACAATCTGAGGTTGTCTGAAGGCGCCAGCAGCGGGGAGATGAAAGCGATGCTCCTCGGGGAATTAACTGCTGAAGTTTTGCGGCTCCACTCATGAGTCCTCCCCCACGAGTCACGCCCCTACCCCGGGGCAAAAGCCTGCTCACAAGCCGGCCCCTTCGCAGACTGGCTGCGAGAGGCCAAGATCTGGAGATAAATGTGAAACATTAGTACAGACAGTGAGAGTGGGCTGCCCGGAAAACTATTGGTACTGTAAATACCGCAGCTTGTCCCTTTCTATAGAAGTTAACAAGTTTTCCATTGGCATCTTTTTGACATCAGTGCTGTTTGCATTTTGAAGTGAGGCGTTAAGCGTTGGCATCGCAAGCTACGCACCACTTTCCCTCTCATTTTTAAACCTTACGGACTTTAAATGGACATCACAATTAGCATGAATTTAAAAAAATCATTCTTGGGTGTTTCTAGCGTTTTCAGTGTATATTTAGGCACACCTCAGACACTTTAATTACTCCCTCTTGAAGTGGTGGAATGCTGACAGACTGTGCAATGAACCTGTTATGTTTCATAATAAGTTCGAAATTTGCAAGTCAAAAGAAATAGATGTGAAAGACAAAGTAAATTCCCGTCATTAGGGCAAGCAAACATAGACAACATAAACACAAGCAACTAGGTGGATGCTCACCAAAAACGAATTTAAGGAGGAAATACTGTAATAATAGATTTATTATTAGTCACGAGAGAGGACATTCCAGATGAAGCTGTGGGACAAATGAGTGACTAGGAAAAAATGTGGAATCAATACGCTAAATACAATTACATGTTGCTTTGTTTCTAGGAGTGACAGACACTTAAGTCTTCACTTGTGTATTTCTGTCTCATAGCAACATTGGGCATTATGGGCTCAATTATCATAAAAGTGATAAAATGGAAAAAATGTTTAGTTAAAAGAAGACTTAGAGAACTGATTTAAACTATTACTAGCAAGGTTGAAGGGTTTAAAATCACTTGACTCAATTCAACAGCTAAAAAATAAAATTTATAGTTTTCTGAAATGTAACCTGTGACAAAATATTTTTTGCTGCGCTCATGTTATAATGTCAAGTGTAGCGTAAAATTTCACATAGCGAGTGAAAAAATGCAGACTGCCTAAGGTGAGTTGCTGTGGCAACCATAAGTGCAGCCCTGTATGTACCAGGCACCCAATTGGCACACCAGGCTCAGAATTCTGGATGGAACTTCAGTAAAATTCTGTTTGGAGTCCCTGAAGGCTTTAAAACAATTGGCTCAGAATCCTTCCTGAAAAAGTAGCTTGTTCATGCTTTCTGGCAGCAAAAATAGCACACATATCCAAATTAATTGACTATTTAGTATTTTACATTCATTTATGAGACTGGCATGGAGTGGAATAATCTGAAGTGTATCCAGTCATGCTGTGCCTTCCCAAGCCAATGTCAAGAGGTTCTCCTTCTGTTCTGCTGGCCCTGAGAAAACCATAGAGGACACAAATATATGATTCAGATCTTCTCATCATTCATAGACTGTTGGAACTCATCTGCACACACAATTTGTTGTGAAGCATTTGTTACCATCATCGTTATTATCACTGTTATTATTGTGAACATAGAAAATGACTCCCTATTAGAACATCTTAAAGACTGCTATAACAAGTTTTTCTTCAGATGTACCAAACTCAAATAAATATAGGCTTAGTACTGTAGATAGCACTGCTTTTCACAGCTCTGGGGTCCTGGTTGTAGGTCTGCCTATGGATTCCTGTCTATGAGGAACTTGTATGTTCTCCTTGTGGTAGTGTATGTTTCCTTTGAGCACTCAGGTTTTCTCTTAACTCCCAAATACATATATATATACAGCTTAATTAGCTGAATAACTTTTAAGGGCATTTATGAAGCCCAGGAGGGAGGAAGCTTACCAGAATCTATGCATCCTGCCTTCGTCTCTCTGTTATTAAAACCTAGTTAACAGCCCCTGGAATGTGGGAGTTGTAGACCAATTTCTTTGATAAACAACAGATGCAAAATATTTGCCAGAGTTCTGTCTTGCCAATTAGGCCAACTATTCCCAAAACTGGTGTGCTCACTTCAAATTATTTTTGACAAATTAAGCTTTGCAACTGCAAATTTTAAATCTGTAAGATACAACCTTTGTAAATATGATCGCTATAATCACTTGATCTGCTCTTCATGATTTAGATACAGGAGCCTACCATGTTCACTCTGAAATAAAAAGGTAAAAAAATGAATGTTTACCTACAAATTTCCCTTTTATTTTCTGCCATTCAACTGTGCTGTTATACCACTTTTAGTTAAGAAAATAACGATTTTTAATTAGGTTTTGTTAAATGGAAATACTGTACATCTAGACTGTGCCAATTCAAAATGTCTACAACTGAGATAAGGGAGGTCTTGAACTTCCAAATTTATAGAAATATTATATGACATTCAATTTAAGATACCCCCTGAAATAAAGTTATGGAATGAGTTATGGAAGATGACTTCCATAACTTTATTTAACTTTATTGTATAGGAGGACCTTAATTATATTAAGGAGGTCTCTCTCTGGAAACTTTAGGCTCACTCAAACCTATAGGAACTACATTGACAAAATTCT